TGTGTACTTGAAAGATATTTATTCTAGTATGTCATTAGAGGAACATTTGGAGGTATCACTTCTGTATGTGTGTACATGTATATACATAAGCAGTGTCAATTTTTAATGTTACGATTCTAACACAGTATAAACTAATACCTGTAATAAATGTATACAATGGAATTTTTACATAACTGTATACGGAATTATATATTACCTGTCCATGTAATTAATCTAGTTCATGTATTTACGTTGTATAATAATCTGTACTTTCAGGTTTTTACTAAGGTATTTTTTTCAACAATTTTTATTTCGAATAAAGATTCTCCTAGGATTCTTATTTATTTATTGTCTGTTAGGAAGGTACTTCATAAAAATTGGTCAAGTTTTGTGATATGCACACCCATTTAACCATAAGTGCAAAAACATTCTGTGCGTAGCATGCAACACAGACATTTCTTTGATTGATGCTTAAGCATTTCAAATGAGGCGATAAATGAATATGTGCTTTGTGCAGCTTTGTGTAACCATACAAGTATATACTGTTATATGAAAAGGGTTCAGTTCACCATTTGAAGCTGCATCAAGGAGATTACTTAATTGCGAAGTAGGTATGTGTATACTTATATATTTTCATTACTGTATTTTTGCGTTATACGATAAAGTGCAGCATCAAAGAAATTGATCCCTCTTCATATACTTAGATGTATCTTTTTAACATAAATTTTAATTCAATGATTCTCATGATCTGTTTCAGGATGAAACTCCCCAGGGATTCTTCGAGGACCATGGTCTGGGATAATATTTCCTAGACAATTTGTCGAATTTAATGTAAGTGGATTTATGATGATGCTCCCAACATTCCAGAATTGTATTTACCATATGCTATGTTTATTACAATTAAGAGTATAGTATTGAATGAGTCTTAATTAATCAGAATTCATTTTTCGAATTGAATTGATATCTATAGTAAATGAATACAATTTCATCATAGATACAAATTATAACTGCTTCTTCAATATTGAACTTTCTTGTTACGGTAATAGCAGTCTTCTATTATATATATATATATATATATATTACATAAAAATCTACATTATTTAACCATCTACAGTTCATTGTATCATTGAATTTATTGTCATTAATTTTATTATTTATTTCTCATTCTTATGCAGTTACTCACTAAAGTGACGATTAATCCTTAATTCAAAATCTATAAATTCACATACTTGAGTATAAAGTAGCATAATACAAAACATCAGTAATAATTATTGTAACAAAAAATTGAGTTCTTATGTAGAGGGTTAAATAATGAATTTCAAACATTCCATACCTACATGCACATATTTTTTTATAGGGTGCTTGTAGGATATTCACTTGTATTAATTACTTCGTAAAACCAAATATAAATTTTTGCACCCTATTCATTTTTAACACGTTCCGTGCCACGTGTACCATCGATGGTACACGCTTGCATGTTTACTTAGTGAACTGAACAAATTGTTTACAAGAAATTTAGAACCGAAGAATCAATTTCCACCGCAAGAATGGGCGTTGATAAGTTTTTGTTATGTTGTTATGTGTACGAGAATTAATAATTGCACGTAATACATCAAGTTTTAGTAAAATATCAAAGTGTGAAGATTCGAGTAAAAAAAGCTCGGCACGGAACGTGTTAATCAACAATTATATTTTTGTATGTTATGTATAGAAAATAATGAATTCAACTGAAACATTTTTCATGTATCACTTAGCAACAGCTTTAATCGTCAAATATTACGAAATCTATTAGAACTTTTAACTTCTCATATTAAGAACAATGATTAAATTATCGAATTATAAAAAAACACTGCAAAAGAAATCTGTATTGGAGAAGGAACTGTTTTTAAAAGATGCGCGATTTGTCGTTTGATTTGATTACTTTCTCATTAAGGTAAAAGATTACAAGTAAAAGAATTGATGTTTGTAGGAAACAACAAGATCATAGTTAATAAAATATTCATATAATTGTCTCAATATCATAATAATGCCAATTTTTAATTAGTTATTACTTGGATTATCTTATAATAGTTTACATATATTATATAGATAGCACACACACACACGCACACACACACACACACGCACACACACGCGCACGCACACACACACACACACACGCACACACACGCGCACGCACACACACACACACACACACACATACATACATACATACATACATACATGTATGTATGTATGTATGTATGTATTATTATATCAATTTGTTTTCATCATATTAATTATACTTATTCCAAGCAAGTTTATAGAAATGTTTAAAGCACTACTGTAATTAAATGTTCCAATTTTCAATGACTGAGTATAATGTTTTATTTAAGTGCACAATTTTAATGTTATATAAAGTGACATAATTATTGGTACATACATTGTTGCTTATTCTGTCACTGGAATGTTGTTCAATCTGAAAGAGGCAAAAATATAGTGATTCACTTGATAATACTATTTGCAGAATTTAATTTTACATGTATTGAATGAAATTATATTCATGTATAAACTATTCATTTTATAAATTAGTAGTTTTTCTCTCTCTCTCTCTCTCTCTCTCCTACAACTGCAGGCAGTACAGAATGGTTGATGCCACAATGAGATCATTACAACAGTAACTAATAAAGGAGCTTAAAATAGATTCGACAAAATATTTTAGTATTCACTGTGGTTCTATTAGCTTACAAATTAATCTGTTAAAAGTTACGAAATAATAAACTTAATTTTCTATTAGCTCTTATGATGTTATATAGCAGATCTGCTGTATTTGCTACAAGAGAGCTATAGATTTATTTAATATACATATAAACTACATATAATATGAAAATTAATGTGTCTGTAACTGAAACATTTATGAAACGATTGTGGAAACATTTTATTCGATTGTTTTCTGTATTAAAGATTGCGTAGGATGTCGATATTGCTGAAATATTATCTTCTGTGTTGTTTCTGGAAATGTTCAATATTCCTGTTATTTGTCATTATCATAGTAAGGTATTTTTGCAAGTTTCTATCTTGTTGACCCATCCTATATACGTAATAGCATAATTGATGAAGTAATTATTAAAAGAAACTTACTGGTGGAAAATAAGTTCATAAAGAATATTGTTCGTTGAATGGTTTATTTATAGTATTGGTGCAAGTTGACAGGAGATAATGTGTTATACATACATATATGTATATCTGAGATACAATATACATGTGCATTTGTCACCAGTCAGTGCTAGACTGTTCTAAGAATTATTCGTTATTTCCAATCGATAAAATTTGTCTTGATGATAACGAACAACTTTATTTTTGCCTTGCAATGGGACGAAGACATTTTGCACGGAAGGTTATCATTTCAAATAAAGAATTACGAGTTCAAGCAAGTTAACTGTTGAACGTCGAAACGTTTAAAATGTCCCGTTTCGAGGTCTGAAAAAAAGTGTCCAGTATTGCGTAAAATGTCCGGGTAATACTAAAAATCTCCTTTCCAAACTCGAATATACGTGTACGCTTGTGTATTCGCGAGCATTCTAATATTTTAAAAGTGTGCCAGATTAATAAAAGGTATAATCAATTTCGGGAAATATCTTTTGAAATTACAATACAGAACATTACCCGGACATATTACTTCCCATTTAACTTTAATTGTAACGCGCGCACGTTGGCTTACTTTTTTTTTGTACCAAACGGATTATAGTTTTACTCGAAGAAAACGATGGCTATGTTCAGTTAATGTGCGTCGCGTGATTCGCGTTTAAATGTTTACCAATGGCGTACGCGAATCGCAAGTACCGCATTACACTCTGTACTTTAAAGACTTTTTATATACCGCATAGTTTTCGATACATACGTTAGATATATTCCTGTTTGTTCAGCATACAATTATATATACACGGTACCGTTAAAGTTTCGCTTGGACGATGTTACACGCAGTTCTTTCATGCAATCAAAAGTAGCGATTAAGTGCGCGAATTTGTTAGAACTTGCAGTATATAGGTGGTTATTAAACAGAATTATGAACACTACCAATGTTAAGCGTATGAACGTGTAATACGATAAGTATATGAATGTTGTATTGAAAACGGCGATGCTTCGTGCTCCGTCCATAATAAACCCTGTAATGCAAAACTGTAATGCGTGTTTGTTGAGTTTTCTTTGCGCGAATAGAAAGTTTTAATGTCAAGGTTATGTCAAGTAATGATGAGCTTCTATTTCCTTTTTGTAGCACAGCATATTGTCTTATCGAATAAATTGTTTAGATGAGAGAGAGGTTCGAATGTCATTTACATATTTAAAAAATATCTCTTCAATATGAGAGAATGATACGCAGTGGCTCCACGAAGTATATGGACATTATACGTTTATATTTAAAGTGTTATACTTTTGTAAAAAAGAATCGTGCGAGAATAAATCTGGGTCCATTTCAAACGTTCAAGCCTTGTTTTCACAATCATTCTTTTCTTGCTAAGCTATTTCTGCAAGATATACTTGAAGCTGACCTCCTAAAATTTGATATACAATAGGCTCCGAGGGAAAAGAAAAAAAACGAAAAACATAATTTATACACCTCAAACAACGACTGAATGTTGTAACACGTAAGCTTGCGCATACTTGTAGAAATAAAATAAACAGCTCGAATGACTTATCCATGAGGAGACACTGTTGTGTATGTGCATTTAACAATCAGACGGCGATGCCTAGGTCAATTTAGTCTCGAGTAAAATGTCTTTTTGTTGTTGCCTCGATCATTGCATTGAATTTTGAACGATTAATGTACCGTTAACTCTACAGTAATACATACACACAAGGTAGATCATGAAGACTTTACACGCCGAAATTCTTTCACGAGTCAGTTCAAACGATCGCATATCAACTTTTAGGAGGACGTTATAAAGAGGAAGCTCCGATCTCGAAATCTGTAATCGATTCTGCGATGAACAAAATTTTCGAAGTGTTTTTAGAGACACTTCGATTTGTAGCATTTTCTAGAACAGTTCAAATATCGCTAATTTTTCACAATTTTCCAAAATTCGTAAATTTACTATCCAAGTACTTTTTGGAATGACTTTAAAAGAAGAAATTAATTCGCGTCGAACAATATTTTTTGTAGGATGCCCTTGTATTACGAAAATTTATTGAAAAACTTGCATTGAACTGTTATACAGGGCGCCCCAAAATTATTGTACAAGCGAGATATGAGGGGTTCCTGGGGTCATTTGAAGTAACTTTTTCTTTAGCGAAAAACAGTGACCAATGAGAGGCGAGATCGGCAGGCGCCCGCCCTCGCGACCTCTTACGCGACCTATTACCTCTGTCGCTGCGTCAAACGGCCAGAGGGACGCGACATTGGCTGCAAGGGCGGAGTGCCGGCCGCGCTCACTCTCCGATTGCCAATCAGCGGAACTGAACTTCGTCCACCCGTTGGCTCGACCGCTTCGCGCCTGTTTTTCGTTAATAACTCGTAAACGAAGCCGCGGATTGTATTTTCGCTATGGAAAAAGTTACTTCAAGTCACTTCAGGAACCCCTCATTTCCCGCTTGTATAATAATTTTGGGATACCCTGTATGTATAGCCTGATACAAATGAATAGTTCGATCAGAGTTGTTCTAATTATACTCTCGGGTTTCATTGTCTTCTTCCAGAGATTCTTTTCACGAGGAAACTAGTTTCTTCACGTTCTCCTCGGTTATCAATATTATTTTGCAGCTTACATGCCGCTAATACAACTGTTTTTAGAATCGTACATGATATAATTGTCGTGTTTAGAAACTACACTTTCCCCGTATTTACGTTTCCCTTTTTTCCCCCGTAAAAGAGAAATATGTTAAGAATGTACCGTCATTGTCAGCGGCAAGCCGTAAATTCAGTAAATCGATACGAACGTCCTATGTGTTTAATTTTATAAATCAAGTTCCCGTTTAGGTATACATTAAACTCTTGAATGAAGAGAATAAAGTCAATGCGAACAGAACAGACATCCGGCATCGAAGATTATACAGCTCGGTGCTGTCGAGATTCTCGTCATAAACGTCTGCAGGACGTATTGTGAATGATATATTTCAAGGTTTCCCGCAGCAGTGGACGAGTAACAATGGCGTCACGTATAACAATGTTACGTTATTTAGTAAAGTGAAACGATCTCGACAAAGTTAACAGAAGTCGTTGTTGCTACCCTACTTAGTTACTGGCCGAACAAAGCTATTATTTAACAAGCGCCGTAACATACATATTTTCAGCTTTACTTTTAAGGAACGCTTTTTAGGATTGCATGAGTAGCAATGGTTAGGTTCCCATAGATAGTTGAATATTTTTTTATCCATTCTTTCAAGGGTATTTTACATTATTTCACCGAATCAAGCATCCCCTAATTTTAATTGGCCTGTTATGGTGTTTTGGGAACAGCTGGGTCAAAATGTACCTGGGCACAACCAATCAAGAGTTTGTAGTAAGTAAATTTGTTGATTACAGGGTATAAAATGTTATTTAATCCTAGAACTAAAATAATAAAATCAGTCGAAATGATTGGTTTCTAAATTTTTCTTTTCCAATTACCGATGTTATGAAAATATTTCTACTGAAAAATTTGTCTATGGTCTTCTTTATTATGATAGAAATCGCGTTTAATATAATTAGTTGCGTCTTGGGCTCGGTAGTTTTAGTGTTAAAGGACTTCAAAGATTTCAAGGTCGTGATTTCTGTCATTGTAATTAGGCTCATATGACAGAAACAAATGACTGTGCAATAAAAAAGTACTAGTGTAAATTATTAGATATTTTTATTATTGTTTTCGCTTCACATACTCTTAAAATTCGTATCTTTCTTCTATTGTTTTCATTCAAAATTTGGAATTCGATGAAGCTACAATAATTTTCCGTGAAAAATATACACAAATTAGTTTCTTATGTACTACAACGCATATAAGAAAAGGATCATAAATATTTTTAAATCGTGTACGAATTATTATGACAATTTATGTTGCAAACGCAATTCCGGTACTATATTAGGATTTTATGAAACCGTCTGATGAAAATTAAAAAATTCATACTGCGCTTTGATCGACCGAGAAACAATGGAACTACGTTGGCCTTGACTACAAATAACATTCGTTGCAGAAACAAAAATTGCAAGTTATATTAATGAGAAATATTAAAGAGACTAGCATAATAATATAATATAGAAATATAATATATTATATTTTGAAATATAAAAATATATTAAAGAAATATTATGTTAAAGAAACTAGCATAATAATATAATATAAATATAATACAGGGTGTCCCAAAAATGTCTCGAAATTCGGAAGTAGGGGGTTCCTGAGGTCATTTGAAGAAAATTTTTCCTTAGCGAAAATGCAACCCGCGGCTTTGTTTACGAGTTATTAACGACAAATATTAGCCAATAGGAGGCGAGCTCGACTGGCGCGAGGCGGTTGAACCAACGAGCGCGCGAAGCCCAGTTCCGCTTATTGGTTCGGCCGTTTCGCGCGAGCTGTACTCGCTTTTCATTGGTCACTAATTCAAATCACTTCAGGAACCTCTCATTTCCGGATTGTGAGACATTTTTGGGACATCCTGTATAATAGATTATATTAAAATAAATATACTATATTAAATAAATTTTTATTATAATAAATATATCATAATAAAATAAATATATAAATGTAATATAAATAAATAATTATTAAATAAATATAATATAAACGAGTATGCGAATTCGGCAAATTTTAAGTAATACATATCCCTTTCTTTTTCGCTTTCCGTGCTTTGTTTTTGTTACGTATAAATTGCAATTTTAAGAAAAACGTTTTTGACCCACATTTTAAAATGTCTAAACAATATACGGTCATTTTTAACATAAACGTGACAGCCATTTGAAGTTGTTGGGGTGCCGCACACCTCACACCGCACGTGTATCGTATGAAATTTTGACGCGGTGTGTACAGTAAATGTTAAATATTCTGTACCCACTGAAATATTTTTGGTTCAATATCGTCGAACTTTGATAATCCGAAGTTTTCATAATCCCAGTGTGAAAGATGACATTTTCAAATCTTGTAGGAAGAACCGAAAACGGTAAAAATATTACGAACGATTCAGATAATTTAAAATTTTCACCATTTATGAAATAAATAATAGATACAATTAATACAACGGTATTCCGTTATTATTCTCGGAGAAAATAAAATTTTCATTAAAATGATCACGATTCATAAAGTAGTAAAGTAAGTATAATAGTATAATAAGTATAATAATAAATTGTGAGCAAACAAAAATAGCATCAAAAGATTATAAATTAATAAAATCTGATTATTCGAAATGTTCACAATATTGGTATGGAACAAAAAGTTTTACATTTCCAAATTTTCGAAGGGAAATCAAAAGTAGTAAAAATGCTATAATTAATAAATTTCGCATATCCGAAATTTTCATGAACTCGATATTAAGCCGAACCATTCAACGCATGTGTCGCGGATCCTTGGAAATAATTGACCGAAAACAAATTAGAGAAACAAAAATTAAACAAAATCAAATAGTCGAGAAGTTTCGATAATTTAAAATTTTCACCATTTTGGTATCAATCGTAAAAGACATTTCTCTTCGTGCAGGTGCTGAACGTAGTAACAATGGTGTAATCGATAAATCTCGGCGATTCCAAATATTTACGACTTCGCCGTGAAGCATGAAGTATGATATTTCTCAACTCCTCGAGGAGACATAAAAAGTAGTACGAATCGAGGAATCTAAATTTTCGAATCCTCGAAGACAAACGAAAAATACAATGCGGTGCGCGCACGCACGCACGCATCCCTTAAATATTTTATTATTATTATTTTATTATTTATTATTATATATTTTATATTTACGGCGCATCACCATAAATATTTTATTGTATTACGATTTTGGATAGAAGTGCATAGAAATTGATGATACGGTGCGAAAGAACATACATATATTAAACAATTAAGTTCAGTTGGCTTTTATCACTGATGTAATTATAATAAAGAATATGATTTTTGAATGCTGCACAACTGTCAGCATCGTAGCAGGAAATGTGAATTATAACAATATTAATCGCAACAAAAATTAGTTAATACGATTCGACGTATCAACGATATAATTATGAAAAATTCCTCTACCAATGACCATTACGCACCGTAATTATTGCACTTTTTAATTTTGACATGTCTCAAAACTGGCGATATTCCACATAAAATAAACGTACCTGAACGATATAATGCCCCAGAAATTTTACACGAGATCGATTAAACACGCTGACCATTTCATAGAATTAATTTCAACTGTTTCGAACCACTTTTCAGCTTGTACGACGTACTCGTTATTGTTTAAGAGCCAGAAGCTTTTGAAAATCGATGCGATATCCAAATTATGCATCGCATTATACAATAAGCTATAAATGACAGTTTCTTCGAAACTTATTGATTTATTGTGCTCTTCCACCACGTACGAATGATTCCTATGTACCCTTAGTCGACAAGCTTGATAAATTTGAAAGTTTTCGTGATGCTTGAGTTATGCAACACACTATATACCAGTAAAAATACCATAATCGATGGATTCCAACAGTATATTTCAATTTCCACAACTAGACCATAAATCGAGAAACGACGCCCTTTTAGTAGAGAGAAGAGAAACTCGACGTTTCCCTTTAAGAAGGAACCAAATTTCTGGCGAGACATGGAAAGTACGACCCAGCGACGGCAGGCAGAGAAACGGGACGACAGGGTTGCCCGTCGAGCGATTCGTCGCGAAATGGCTGGTGCACGCATGAGACGGGAGCGCGTTGCGCGTCCGAGAGCGTCGCGGAGTTGCGTCGATGCGAGAGCGAGTAGACGGCGTTGACGGCTGGTCGTCGTCGTCGTCGCCGCTTTGACGTCGGTCGTGGCGAGTCGAGAGCGAGCGAGCAAGAGAGAGAGAGACAGAGAGCGACCTCGAGGCGGTTGCTCGTGCGTGTTCCCGAGTGGTTTGCACCGTCGCGTCGCGTCGCCCCGCGTCGTGTCGCGTCGTGTCGTGTCGTGTCGCGTCGCGCCGCGTCGGGACAACGAATCTCCGCTCGGCCGCGGGTTTCGCTGGTTTCGCTGGCTCGGTTGGTTTCGCTGGCGTCGCGGGTCACGCGGGCAGGGGTCCGACGGGATTCGATATTTCGGAAAAGCTTGGCGCGTACGAAAGCGGAAGCGAGGGAAGCGCGCGGCGCATCGTCGGCTCGCTCGCGGATCGCGGAGGACGGCCGATCGCCAGTGGGGTGGAGCGGCGCCGTCGTTACGCTCGCGCTCGAACTGGGCGCTCCGAGACTACGGGACGTCGCGAGGCAACGCACGCCATCCCGACGTTACCTCCGTCAGCAACGAGTACGAACTACGACGTCGCAGTGCCCTGGGTCTTCCGACGGAACAAATCGCGGTACGATGTGACCGAATCCGGTATCGAAGCGTTGCGTCGCGTCGCGCCCGGACCAAGAACATTCAGGACCATGTTAACCGGTACAACCAGCAAACTGGTGGAATCATGCGCGCAGTCGATTGGGAAGTTTCGGGTAACTTGACCTGACCGTTTCGTTTCGTTTCATTTCGTTTTGCTCGCAGAGAAGTCTCGTTCGGCTCGCGTGCCTCCTCGCGTATCCCTGTGAGAAAAATCGACCGGAGCCGTGCTCGGGGTTCGTCCGGAAGAGAGAGAGGGAGAGAAGAGGACGAAGCGGCGCGTAGGGGAGAGGAAGAGAGAGAGAGAGAGAGAGAGAGAGAGAGAGAGCGAAAGGTGAGGAAAGGGGGGTGCCCCGAAGCTTTCGTGGGATCCGCTCGAGCAAAGGGGGCTCCCTCGTGTAAAGCGCCAGCGTGGGCCACAGTCGAGTCCGGCACTGGACGTCGGTGGTGACGAAGGGGCTGATGTCAGTGCGGCCACTCGGCGCCCGCTCCGTGGCTCGGATGCGCGAACGCGACACCCGCATCGCCGTCGTACCGCGAGTAAAGCTCCCGAAGGAGGCGGAGGCGGCAGTAGCAGCGGCCGATCACGGTGATGGTCAGCCGTGACGACACAGTGGTGACTGGTGACTGGCGTACGATTAAACGCGACCACGGTTTGCTAGACGGTGCCGTGCCGTGCCGGTCGGTCGGTCGGTTGGTCGGTCGGTCGGTCGGTCGGTCGTCGGTCGTCGGTCCTGGGGGCGCAGTCTCGCGGTTTTCGGTGCTTTCGGGAATAATGCAGTAATGTTATGCACGTTACACGGCGACGAGGAGGACGGTACGACGCGAGGGACCCGAGCAGCCAGCCGCGAGTGCAGCTGCAGCTACGCAATTATGTACGCGTACGGTTTCGAGATCACGTAGTGGCTGCCGTGTAATTATGTTGTCATCGACGCGCGGCGCGCCCTGTGTAGCTTCACGGTGAAATTCTGGCGTGAGCGGTGCCGCGGTGGAACGGGGAACATGGCGTCGGTCTCAGCTGAGACTCCAGCCAGCCATGGGCACAGCTTCAGCAAGAAGACGTTTCACAAGCCGACGTACTGCCATAGCTGCACCGACATGCTGTGGGGCCTCATACAGCAGGGGTACATCTGCGAAGGTAGGTGACACCACCCCACCCACTTTCCAGCCCCGATGCCGTGTGGCCCGTGCGTCCTCTCTGTGCCTCCCGTGGCCGCACGGGCCCACGGGAGAAGATGTCGATAGACGATCGGATTAGCTCGAACCTAAACAGCTCGAATTTGGTGCTACGATCTTCGACCTTCGATCGGTTCGCCCGTGTCCTGCGCATTCGATTTATAGAAACGATCCAACACCAGGTTCGGGACTCCAGGAGTGACGGGTGTTCGTTCGACGGATATAAACGGAACGGAGGGGGTTGGGAGTCCTCTTTCGTCGTTCTTGGAATCCAGAACTAGATTTTGTCGGAGAAACCGCAAGGCCGAGGGTCAATCGATACGAGCGAGTTCGGTAACGAAATCGAATAGGTGACGCGTTGCCGTCGGAGTACGCTCCGTCCCGCCTTTTCACGGGCTCCGGAACCTTGGTCGGCGTGCAAAGTTGAAACTGGCTGACCTCCAAGAACGATGAATGGTAAGTGCCCATTCACCGTGTGTGTGCAGAGGGTGGGCATGTTCGTGCAAAAGCCGCCAAGAGCCGTCGTTTCGTTCCGAGCCCGACGGAACGAGCGGCCGTCGGAGCTTCGGCCCCGACGGACCCAAACGTCCGCCGAGTCAGCCGGAAACGATTCTCTCCGGCGTTCCGAGAAAATGGGTGCTGCTTCGTGTTGCGTGACTTGGCGCCAACTCGTCTCAGCAACGTCGCCTTTGCGTCGCGTCGCGACGCGTTGCGTGCACCAGCACTTTGCGTACACGCGACTCATTACTCGCATATGTTTGCTCTCTTCGCGGAGTCGGCTGTTACAGAATTGGGTCAATCGAAATTTCCTCCCCGCCGTTTATCTCTCGCACCCCATCGAAAATTACCCGCGCTGCGAGCCGCGCTACGTTTCCTCGTGTGTGTACGTGTGTATGTGTGTGTGCGCGCGCGCGCGTCCGCCTGCACGAATTCGAATCCTCTCGTTTCACGCGAAATTATCGATCGTCGCTTCTCGAGCGAACGTTTTCACGATACAGCCCACGAATTCCCCTGCAATCGTCGATCGAACGCAACCGTTCCGATCGAACCCGTCATGCGTATCGAACGTTCCGTGTTCCCGAAAATTATTCCTCGGCCCCCGCGAACATTCTCGCTGGTCCAAACCGACCCACCATCTTTGGAATCCGATAACGGGGCGCGCTACGTTTCTCACCCCGTCGCGATTTGCGCACACTCCTGTTCAAGTGTTTACCCCTTGCAGCACGAATACGAGGCGAACACGAAGAAGACAATACACCGGGAAACGGTGTCAGCTCCCCGTTGTCAGCTCTCTCTTACCTGTTGGTCGTTCTTAAGGCATCGGGACTTGAACGGTGTCCAAAAGGGTTTCAATCGGCGGCGGGGGGAGAGGAAGTGGAGGGGAGCAGCGCTCGCTAGGAAATTCCGGTAGACTCAACAGTTGAAGGAAATCGAACAGATATTAGGCGGTTCGAGGCGGCGAGGGCGCGCGCATCGGGCCTTTTCGCAAGCATTGATCGTGGCGGGGGGCGGAGGAGGGGGGCGCGGAAGGGAGGACTCGATGGTGTGGGGTAGTAGCTGTGGTAGCTATATCTACGGTGGATTCCGGAGAGAGCGAGAGAAACGAGTACACGGCGAGAGGGTTAGCGTGGTGGGCGGGGTGGGGGTGTGTACGGGAGCTCGTTGACGAACGGGCTCCGTAGAGGCGAAAAAGGATAAGCATCCGTGAACACTTCGGAACTTTGTATCGTTCTAATGGGCTCGATTCGCGGAGCTTGGTTGTTATGGGAGAGCGTCCGGGCGACCCGACCCGATCCGACGCGATACGACGACGTGAAATTCTAGGTCGCTGTTTCGCGTGCTCACAGATTTCAATTTAGTATCGATCAATTTCGGGAAAGGCAGGATTCGCCGGTGATAACGGGTCCAACGAGTCCTCGTCTCCATCGACGAGACAACGAATTTAATAAATGAGAAAATATCATTGTCGATTAGGCCACCGTTCCCGAAGGGCGCCGGAGGGTTTTCTAATGTGAAAATCTGTCCAGCTGTACAGGGCGAGGCTCCGTTCTTCGAGGCCGTGTTTCAACGCTAGATTCGCGGAACACCAAAAGCAGCTGTTTCGTGTTAGTTTATGAACGTTGCAATTACACATTTATTCGGATTTTTAACGAGCGTCGTTGTAACACGTACAGTTGATAACAAAAGTATTCGAATATAACTTCGACTTCTACGCCATATATTTAAACAAATATATATTGAAGGGAAGAAATACTTTACGGTATATTAAAGTAAAGTATATAAATGTCAAAATATGCAAGAAACTTTCGATTTAGTATAAAACGTTATCTACGCAATTAAAAAAATATAAAGGAACATCGAATTTTCGTTCAACATAAGCATTCGAACGCCTTATAAAATTCCGTCGATAAGTTATAAAAGTAAATTTTTTTATTAATTTCGATTACTTTAATAATATGTTTCAAGAAGTTTGACTTTTTAAAAATAAGCATTTATTTAAGATCGATGTCGCTTTTTTGTCTCTATTTTATACGATTTTATAATTTTATAAATATAAATTGTTATCTTAATTTGTTAATGCATCTGAAGGAATTTGTAAAATTAGTATGCATTTTTGATTGATATTTTCCATGTTACGTCAGCATTCGCGAATAAATGGACCAAAACTGCATTCTAATTTTCCTTCAAATGCATTAACAAAATAAGGTGACAAATTATATTTACACACGCTTTATACACGACCGTCTATCCACATGAAGTGAATTCGGTCGTACGAGTTGCAACAAAAAACGTACATACTATAAACAAATCATAAAATCGTATAAAATAGAGATATAAGACAATATCGATCATAAATAAAGAATGATTTTAAAAGTGTCAAACTTCTTGAAACATATTATTAAACAATAGAGGTATAAAATTAGTAATAAAAATTAATAAACGAACTGAATTTTATAAGACCGTACGCCTTATACTTATGTTATGTATGCACGAAAATTCGATGTTCCTTAATATTTTTTCAATTATGTACCTAATGTTTTACATTAAATCGAAGGTTTCTTGTATTTTGACATTTATATACTCTACTTTAATATACCGTAAAGTATTTTGTCCCTTCGATGTATATTTATTTAAATATATAACGTAGAGAGTTAAAATTATACTAGTGTTCAAATACTTTCGTTACCAACTGTATATAATAACGTATGTAATAAATAACTCGTAAATGTATTTTGTCATTTTGATGGGTTCTTAAATCTAGTATTAATAGAGAAAAACACTGCATCGACTAAACTTCCTTCTTACTGAAACGCGTACAATCTGATGTTGATAGTTTTCGAATAGATGAACTCGTGGAAGACGCATGAAGGTTGAGCCAGCTCAGTCTAACGCATTTTTTTCTGTCGGCACCAAACATCTGAAATATTTGAGCGACCTTGTTTTAGGTATACACTGATTCTATCACTATCTTATGTTTCGAAAATGAAAAACAAAAACGTAATTAGTGTAAGTGTAGGTATTACTGCGGACGTTCCAAATAATGCGGTATTTTATAAAAGTAATAAAATCTAACATTTTATAGTGTGAAATCCTCTAAAAATGAATCTCATAATTGTTTGTACGTTTAATATTGATAATTTGTGACATACAAATAACTGTAATCGCAGTTTTAAATCATTTATCGACTTTCGCGATAGTCCTATGAAATACTCATAATGGCAGCTGTGAACGCTGAATCGGAAGGCATTTATATATTTTGCTAATTAATAATAAACTATTCATTTTAGCGTTATTTTTTGATAAAGTAATGCTTAATATAAAGTAATACTTTGATAAAAAATCGACGTACACTCTCATTATCATCTATTCTCAAATATTATTTACTAACAGTACAGTAAATGGACAATTTAGGAAGAGGAGATACGATTATTCGAGCCTTGTAACTCGTTTTTATAGTTGTTGACCATCGGTAACTATAAAAACGAGCCGCAAGGCTCGAATAGTTCTATCTCCTCTTCCCAAGTTGTCCATTTTTGTGTACAAGCTGAGCGTCAATTAGAAAGGATTTACTGTATTTGGCACATAGTTTTTTTTACCATGCGTGTACATAACGGCGGTGCTTTAGCGAACTACGTACCTTAACCTATATAGCGCAGTTTTCGATGAGCCGGTGCGAACACGCTCGATTACTTAATTTGTAAAGTGCTACAATTTGAATATCTTGATCCTAGGAATCGTAGCTGTGTGTATATATTTAAAAGAAAGTAGGTAAAGTACAACGGAAGAAGTCAAAGGAAAGAGAACGAAAAATATCAAACGATATAAAGAAAAGGAAAAATGTAGCCTTGCAAGAACGTCGGAACGTCCGCAGTATTTTTTTAAATATATGTGCACGTATGGTTTCTTTACATTTTGCTTTTAATGAAATTTATGCTTCTAGAGTTTCAATATTTTAAGAGAAGTAAATGTTCAAGTTAGAGAATAATAGATATAGCTCAAGGTTGTGAATTTATTGGCGTAAAAGGTCTCATTTTCATTGAGAAACCACAGTAATATCTGTACTTGTCCTAGTAGACCGCGGATTTTTGCGCGAATTAAAATTTTCTTCATCAGCTAAATCGAAACAGTGGTTAAGCAAGAATTCTCTCTTTTGCTTAGTAATTTAAACTGTCTCAAAATAAAACTCAATCATAACCTTACATTTCTCTGATGCATTCTCCTTTATGTTTCGTGTACTAATTCTTCTCGTATGTGCACGCAAGAAATCTGCAGTCTAATGATTACGGTTTTCTGTGTGCATATTTTAGACGATCTATAGAAAATGAATGGGTCGAAAGAAAGAGAAAAGGAGGGAATGTGAATTGTAATGGACTCTGAGGGTAACATGTTTTCGTATAGTCTGATGTGTGCACCTCTTATCGCAATGTAGGTTATGCGAGGTAACAGTGCAGTGGGTATGCG